AGTGATCCGCTGTCGCACACATGTAAAAAATGAGTAAATTAAAACTGTATTTTAAAGAAGCGATCGAGAGTCGTATCGCAAGGACTCTTAGATTGATTTTTATCAACTGAAAAGAATGAGGGTTTTAAAGTTTAGATTTTGAAGAAAATAACAGCACAACATATTTAATTACAAATATGGAGTAAGTTAAAAAAAACTTACTCAAACTCTTTGAATAAGTTGATCTCTGTCTATATATATATATATATATATATATATATATATATTTATATATATATATATATATATATATATATATATATATATATATATATATATATATATTTGTTTGTTTATGTTTATGTTTGACTTAAAGTACATAAATTTTTATGTTTGACTTAAAGTACTATATTTGATTAGTAGCACAATATAGCTGGAGTGCCGCCACAAACAGCTGTGAAGGTTGGCTTTATCAGCAATCATTTTCTTACTTTCCACTAACGCTTCATTCTTTCTCCACGTCCTTTCTGCATCTAATTCCACATGTATCACTATCTACAAAACCTAAACTCTACTTTTGCTAATTTGTAGCTATTAAAATAGATTTAAGCTCTAGTAGTTTTCTGTCTGCATGAAAACTTTTGAACTTCCTACGAGTACTCACCGATCCTTTCTCCTCTTTCCAATAATGCAACTTAGCTAACTCTATATTGATAATCAACGGAAGCTTACATGTCTAATCAATTTTTAAGTGAAAATTCGAATTTTTTTTCGAGAAACTTATATATTTGTTTATATAGAATTTAATAATTATAATTTGTTAAAACAAAGCGTGAAATGCTATGACTTGCATAATAGAATAGTGAAAATAAAACAAAGCGTGAAATGCTATGACTTGCATAATAGAATAGTGAAAATACTATTTATTAACTCAAATTGATACTATAATATATAGGTCTTGATCTGAATAAATATTTTTTAAAGATTGAAAAAATATTGAAACTATTATTCATTAACTCAATTTGATACAATAAGTTAGACCATAATACAGAGACATTGATCTAACTGAATTTTTTTTAATAAATAGCAAAATTGTTTTTAAAAGTGTACAAGACGGCCTACAACATATAATTTCTTTTTTTTTCATTAAACTATGATAAAAGAGTCTATGTACACATTTTTCACGATTATTTTTACAATTAAATGGGGTCTTTTAGAAAAATTCACTACTCAACCGTAGTTAACTTCAACTTCAATCAAATATTTTGCTTCTTACTTCTTTATCTGAGACAAATTATATATGGTCATTAATATGCTTTAGATGCTCTGTCTATTTATTAAAATACATCAATAAAAAATAAGATATATTAGTTTTAGATGGAATTATTCGACTTGATCCATTAAGTTGATTCCAAACAAAGTGGTTTAAGATATTAATAGTAACTATGTCTACGATGCTTTGGAAAGAGACTTTATAAAAAAAAAAATTAGATACTTTGCAAGAAGCCAATAGATATGCAGATACTCTTGCAAAGGAAGACATCCATACTACAAAGTTCTATTTCTTTGAGTCGTGTTCTTTATTTGTGCAACAATTGTTTGAAGACGACCTAGTAAGATTGTTAGTGTCTAAATTTGCTGCCGTATAGTTTTTTATGTTTGTGCTTAGACCCTCCCTTTTATAATAAAAAATTGAACTAACTTGATATTCTTCTATGAAATGATTTAAAACCAATTGGATTCAGTTGAATCTGGATTTGGATCAGATCCAACTTATTAAATACGTAAAATAATATATATAGTTTTGTTCAATTTAGTGATTTTATTAGTATTCTATCATGAAAATAATATATAAATATTAGTTTACACTTATTAAAAAAAATAGTCAGAAAAACTTATAAGGTATATATATTTTGATATTGTTGACGTTAATTAAATTAAAAATTATATAAATAAATATTAATATTATTGTTTTGGGTCTGGTAGACCGATCTCATATGTGTTTCTGCCAACCATGCCAATCCTAATCAATAATTAGATAAAATTCCATTTCTGTCAGAATCTTCCTAATACACGAAGATTATCATTCTAGTGATCATAAAAGGTCTCAACTGCAAAGCATCCAACGACTCTCCGAAATTTTCTCCTAACTAATAACAAATTAGGTATTCTCTCTCTACAGAATATTGATAATGCGCCAAAATCAAGTAATAAGTTTCAAATAAAATTTCATTTCACTCTTCTTTTACATATAGTGACTTGGAAGTTGGAGTGCTAAACTTGCATGCCCCTCACTCATTCGCACAGGAAGCCACGATCCGCCATCACCACCATTCACCTTCTCATTTCTGGTTCTCGAACGGAACAATTATTTTGATATATTTTAATATTTTCTTCATAATGTTTTTTTAATGGAAAATAGATTATATAAATGAATAAAAGAGAAAGGAAGAACATAGTAAAAACAAGCAAAAATCACAAGAAGTACTCTAGAGGCAACAAACAACAAAAGGGAAACAAAAACATTGAAAACAAATCAACATAAAACAGACAACACAATAGAAGAATCAAGATAAAACAACGACACTAGAAATAACATCATGGGACTCTCTCAAAATAAAGAGTCAAGGGAAGGCTAAAGAGAACAACAACAAGAGTAGATGGGTTAGTTGTCCACCAATGCACCACTATAAGCTCAAGCACCTGAGTAGGTTTTGATCCAAATTTACAAGAGAGAGTTTGACATCTAGAAAGTGAGAGTGAAACCACTTCCAAGAAAGATAGATAATTATACTCACCCAATGATTAACCAATGAGTTTTCCTGGTATAAAATAAGTTTATTACACAAGTTCTAGATAGTCCAAACCAATGCATGTCAGACCGAACCAAAACCTAAAGCCTCCCTCTTACCACTTCCTAATCCCTAAACTAACTCAAAAACTTGAAGAATGGACTGAGCAATAGGCACTGACATACATAACCACCTGAAGACACTATATCAAATAGTTGGTGGGGTTGCACAAGAACAAAGAAATTGTCAACTGACTTAACCTGATCTAGACACATTACACAACTCATCCCACTAACAACAACTAAAACACTACACCTACAAAGATTCTTCCTATTGAATAGCCTACTATGCAACAACTTCTAGAAGAACATAATTAATTTAAAAGGCGGACAACTATCCCAACAAGAAGCCAAACTTTAAATTACTTGAGTCGGCCTACTATTTCCCTTGTTGTAAGAGAGAAAAGACGATCATAGAAAGACTTCACTGAAAATTCCCTTGAAGAATCGAGAATAGAAGTTCAAAAATCCTCTTGATCATGTATAACCACTCCCTGAATGAGCCCAACCAGGACCCCCTAGAAAATTAAGTTCCCAGACAAACATCCTTTGCCTCAAACTAAAATTCCAAACTCAGAATCAACCCACATAATTCTCCGTCCTACCAACCACCTAAGACTTCTTATTAGAGATTAACAACCTCTTAAAAGGCACATACAACAGAAGAGACTCGATACACACATCCCCGAGTGTGAAAACCATTTATCACCACCTTACTAATAGAATAGGTAAACCAATATGAAAGCTCCACAACTTAGAGCCAAAGAGATAGACATCTCTCCACTAATGAGAAACCTTTATAAGCCCCATTTCGTTCCCCCAAAGGGAGAATTAAGCACCAAGGAAAAATAACACTCTGAAATAATATCCCTCCACAACGAAGGCCCGTCTACTAGAAGCTGTCATCGCCACTTACTCAAAAAGACATAATTAACACGTCTCAAGTCCTTAACCCCTAAGCCTTCCAACTTCTTAGACTTACACACATCTTTCCACCTACCTAAGCAACTTTGATCCTTCCTTAAGAACCTCTCAAAGAAAATGCATATGAAAACCAACTGTTTTCTTCCACATCGAAGTTACATCTTCATAAAAGAAAGAAAGAAAGTTGGAATGAAATTCAACACAAAATTCAAAAGAACAGTTATGCCCCCTAAGAATTACGAACCTATTCTGCAACAAAATCAATCTCTTAGTTATGAGCCTTAATAGAGGCTCGCAAATCTCTCGTTTTTTTTTAAATTTGTAACTATCAGAATTTCTAAATACTTAAACAACAGTAAATCTACTTTGCACTACGAATACTTCTCAGCAAATTTCTTAAAAGAATATTCGACATTTTTTTTGTAATAATTTGATTTTTAAAGAACAAATAAGATACAACCAAGTGAAGAAAAATAAAGATTGAAGAAATTTTCTCACTAATTAAAGAGTGCAAAGTATTATATTAGAATTCAAATTTTTGTCATACTTAAACTAGAATTACATAAAATCTCTTTACACATTTATCACCATTAAATAATTTGACTAAATAGAATCAAATATGTTTAATATAAAAAAAAAAGTTGTGTTAGTATATCTCGATCATACACGTCTTTAATTTAAAGTATATCGAAGTGCAAATGAAACTAAATTAGATAGCTCTTCTTTTAACTTATAATTTACTTCTTTTTTTTTTTCTCTTTGAAAAATTAACTCATAATTTTACCAATTACACTCTACAAGTTTCTAACATGTACTTATCCGATATTTATCAGAATTAGTATATTAATCACTTAATAGATTTAAATTATTATTTTTTAATATAAATTAAAAGAGTATATATCTTAGATAAGCATTACTCACACCTACTACTATAGGACACATTTCAATTATACAAGAGGTTGTGGGGTTGTAATAAAGAGATCCACTATGCACTAGCTGCTGAATTAATATTATATTCTTCAAAACCAGCCATATTCTCCCACCATGCAAATTGCACTTTATCACCTCTCATTGCCTCCAAATTATACCAACCCCTTTTATCATGAGTTACATGTATATGATAATCTACTCGTACTCCAGCTAGCAAATTTTGTTGATATTCTTCTCATAAAGCTTCTCTCATCACATATAAATACTACCTCATTATATCTCTCATTTCTCACACTTAATTGCCATTCTCAATATCATGGCTTTCTCCAAGCTTCTAGCTGCTTCTTTTCTTGCATCACTTCTCTTTCTTCATCTTGTTGATGCGGCAGATCAATCGGTATGTATATAATTTAAATTTTGTGTTTTTCTTATTCTATTTTATAATCAAGCTACGTTTATTTTATATATTTTTGTAAAGAAAACATTACTAATTCATGTATGTTTTTGATGAACCGAAGGAACATACAGAAACTGAAGGCTCTCTTTTTCGGAAGAAAATAGGTACACCTACAATAAACATAGAAATTCATGCATATAAGAGTATTTAACATATATGTGTGTGTGATTATAATTTTGTTGAATTTGAAAACGTGATTACATATTTCAGATTGTAATGGATCATGCGTTGCAAGGTGCCGTTTATCATCTCGACCAAGATTATGTAAAAGAGCATGTGGGACTTGTTGCAGAAGATGTAACTGCGTGCCACCTGGTACTGCTGGAAACCAAGAAAAGTGTCCCTGTTATGCCAGCTTGACTACTCATGGTGGCAAACGCAAGTGCCCTTAGAAAAACAAAAACTACCTTAATTGGAATTTGGACTTAGAAACTATTATTATAAATATCCGAAAAGGTTACCATGCATTAATAATACAAATTATGTTTTCCTAAGTCACTATGGTCTGAACCACATGGAAAGTAAATCTGTACTTTTTCAATACTGTTGAAATATCGAGTGTTAATTTAAAATAATAATAATAATCTTGTTTGTTATCGCTTTCAATTGTTTTGGTGCTATTTTGAGATAGGAAGAAATCATTGAATATTTTGTAATCATTATTGGAAACGGTCAATGGGCTAAACATCCACAATCAAAAAAATTTTGACATCACATATTTATTTAAAACCTTAAAATATTTAATTTATGAGTTTTTTACTTATAAATTGTTTAACATTCGTTTTTCCATCAATGGAACTCGTATTCACATTAGATATACCAACAATCTCCCCATTAAGTGTGAGTCAATCAATTCTTATGGATACTCTCTCCCCTTAAACGAAAGTCTTTTTCATCCATATCTACTTGCATCACTATTGGATGGCCTCAACGGAACGCGCCACCTGATCATGTTGAGGAAAAAAAAGATAAACCAAGTGATAAGTCTGATGACAAATTGAAAAAGATGAATCAAAACTATTTGTATACAAAGTGTAAGCATGAGTCACACATTAGATGAAAAAGTGAATGTTAAATATTTTATAAGTTAGAAGACTCATAAACTCGATGTCTTAAAGTTTTGAGTTAATATATGGTGTCTCTCAGTTATGTGGTTGCTCCTAAAAATTCCGATGTGTTGATCACCAAACTCCCTTGTGACACAACGGTGGTATTAGAGCTTGACTCGACTAGGGCTCCTTGTATCAAAAATCTTCCTGACAAGGATATTTAGGCGGCATGTTCCGTTGAGGTCATCCAACGACGATGCAAGTAGATATGGATGAAAATGGACTCTTTAATCCCCAGAGCACTACAACAAATAAGAAACTTAACAAGGATTTTAGAGAACTGCAACAGAGAAGATAATAAATCTCAACGAATGTTTCATTGGTGGCTCAGGTGGAACCTCTTCAACTTGCTCATCATGATAAGGTTCTTGATCATTTGTTACATTTTCATCATAAACAATGTAGACATTTCCATCATGTGCAATTGTTGTCGTGTCTTTGTCATTTTTCAATTTAAACTTGCATTTAACGCCTGTTTCAACCTAAACATCCTCACAGTATAAGATAAGAAGAAACCACGCCTAGGAGTAACATGGTATAAGGCACCTGAATCAATAATCCAAGTTGAATCTTGACATGCAAGGTTTATGAAAAATGATAACGACACGGTAGCAATTGCACATGACAGTGATGTCTACATTGTTTATGACGATAATGTAACCAATGACCAAGAACCTTATCATGATGAGAAATTTGAAGAGGCTCCACCTGAGCCACCGATGGAACATGCATTGAGATTTATTATATATCTTTTTTTGTAGTTCTTTAGAATCTTAAGGTGATAGGTGTATCGGTTATATCACTTATAAATGCTTAAGTCTCCACTTTTCTAATCAATATGTGACTTCTCCACACAACACTTTCAACCCACACTTGTTTTTCTCAACACTCCCTCTCGAGTGTGAGTGTATCCATAATGCCCCCCTCAAGCATAAGTTCTTCCGTCCACATACATTTGTATAGTTGTTGACTTTTTCAAGGGGGACAATGCCTCATATCCACCACCTTGTGGGGAAGTTTTGATACATGTAAGTGGATCCTTCACTTGAACCAACGGCTCTGAACCACTTGTTAGGGAGTCTGGAGAGCCCCGAAAGTGTCAATGGACCAAACGTTCAGGATCCAAGAGACTTTGACACCACATATCCACCCAAAGCCTTAAGGTTTTGGTTAATATGTGGTGTCCAACTCATCTTAAAGAGAGTGTTGAAAACCCAATGTGATGATCTCTGGACCCCCTTATGAACTAACAGTGGTATCATGGGTTGTTGGTTCAAGTGATTGACTAACTCACTTGTACCGAAAGTCATCCCCACATGGTTGTGGGTAGGAGGCATTGTCCTATTGAAAAAGTGTAAACAATTATACAAGTGTATGTGGATAAAAGAGTTTCTGCTAAAAGGGGCATTATGGATAGACTCACACTTTAGGGGATTGTTGAGAAAAACAAGTGTGAGTTGAAAATGTTGTGCGGGAAAGTCTCATATTGATTAGAAAAGTGGAGACTTGAGCATTTATAAGTGAGATAACCCACACACATATCACCTTAAAATTTTGGATTAATATTTGCTGTATTTCTCACAAGGTGTGCTGCTCTTAAAGAGAGGCCCCAATATAAAAATGCTCCTTCATGTTAACTCCTAAACCATTAATGATCCAACAGTCATTAAATAAATTATTGTCCAACGTATTATTACACTATATTGAAATTCTTATATTGTCACATTCATTAGGGGCGTGGATGGATGAAATTCAGTGGATCATAAAATCTAGTAAAGGAAAAGGATTGAACACCCAACTTTTCAAGACTACTTTTGCAGAAACGATTTCTGAGAGTTGGATGTATAGAGATGACATGAGCTATGGTAACATTATAATTAATACAAACATAGGCCAACAAGTTATAAACAATGTAATTTACAGGAGAAAATTTTCCTTCAAACCCCTACCATTATCCCTTTACCCCTATATTTTTTTAAAATATTTCTATTCTACCCTTTTCACTTATTAAATTATTTTATTATTTAATATTTATTATTTTATGATATGTATTTTTTCTTCACCAAATAACTTGCAATTAATTTTTTCGGTATGTATTTTTCTTCATCAAATAACTTGCAACCAAATTTTTCGTTATGTATTTTTTCTTCACCAAATAACTCGCAATCAAGTTTTCTGGTATGTATTTTTTTCTTCACCAAATAACTTGCAATCAAGTTTTCCGATGTGTAATTTAACACATGAAGAAAAGTTACATACCGGAAGACTTGATTGCAAACTTGATTAAAACTCTTCGATCAGATCGAGGCGGTGAATATTTAAGCCTAGAGTTTGATGACCATTTCAAAGAGTGTGGGATTCTATCCCAACTCACTCCTCCTGGAACACCACAATGGAATGGTGTATCTTAGAGAAGAAATTGAACCTTGTTAGACATGGTCCGTTCCTTGATAAGTCATGTTGATCTTCCAAACTCCTTTTGGAGACATGCATTTTTGGCAGCAGCTTACACACTTGATTGTATTCCATCCAAAAAGGTTGAGAAGACACCATATGAGATATGGAGTGGTAAGAAATCATATATGTTTTACATCAAGATTTGGGGTTGTGAAGTTTATGTGAAACGACAAATTTCAATTAAGGTTGAGCCCAAATCTTACAAGTGATTATTTGTGGGATATCCTAAAGAAAAAATAAGGTATTACTTCTAAAATCCTTCTGAGGGAAAAGTGTTTGTCGCTCGAACTGGGGTTTTCGGAGAAAAGGACTTTATTCCCAAAGGAACCAGTGGGAAGAAAGTAGAGCTTGAAGAAATTCAAGAATCACAAAGCATTGATACACCTATGAAGGAATTAAAGCAGGAATCACAAGTAGTTGTGGAAGTTCAACTTGCTCAAGTAAAATAAGACCAGCATAGGTCGAACAAGATATGTCACCAACCACAGAGATATGGATATCTCATAATTGATCAAGGTGATGTATTACTCATGGATCAAGATGAACCTGTAACCTACCAAGAGGCCATAACAGGTCCTGAGTCTGAGAAGTGGCTAGAAGCCGTGAAATCTAAAATGGATTCCATGTACACAAACCAGGTTTGGACCTTGGTAGAGCCTCATGTTGGAGTTAATCCTATAGGATACAAGTGGGTCTTTAAAAAGAAGACTGACACGGATGGTAAGTTACATACCTATAAGGAAAGACTGGTTGCTAAAGGCTATAAACAAATTTATGGGGTAGACTATGATGAAACCTTTTCACCACTTGCAATGCTTAAATTTGTTCGAATTTTACTTTCTATCGCTGCATATCATGATTATGAAATATGGCAGATAGATGTCAAGACTTCTTTCCTTAATGGGAATCTTATTAAGGATGTGTACATGACACAACCCGAAGGATTTAACATACTAGAAGAAGCCCAAAAGATATGCAAGTTACATCGATCAATCTATGGATTGAAGCAAGCTTCCAAAAATGGAATATTCATTTTGATGAAACTATAAAACAATATGGATTCATAAAAAATGAAGATGAGCCTTGTGTCTACAAGAAGGATAGTGGGAGCATGATCATCTTCCTGATATTATATGTAGATGACATATTACTCATTGGAGATAATGTCCCTACCTTGCAACAAGTGAAAACTTGGTTAGGGAAATGCTTTTCTATGAAATACCTTGGTGAAGCAGCCTATATATTAGGAATCAGGATCTATAGAGTACATACAAAATGCTGGTTTGTGTACTTGGCCTAAGTCATAGTACATACATAGACAAAGTGTTGAGACGCTTTAATATGCATGATTCTAATAAAGTATTTACACTTATACAAAATGGCTTATATCTATCAAAAATATAATCCTCTTCAACTAAGGAATAAATGGATCGCATGAATAAGATTCTATATGCATCTGCAATAGGATCTATCATGTATGCCACGTTATGTACTCGACCAGATGTCTCGTATGCTTTAAGTGCAACGAGTAGGTTCCAATATGATCACGGTGATGCTCATTGGATAGATGTCAAGAATATCCTTAAGTACATGAGAAGGACTAAGGACTCATTCTTGGTATATGGAGGTCAGGAAGAACTTGTTGTAATTGGATACAAGGATGCTAGCTTCCATACAGATAAGGATGACTTCAGATTTCAATCTAGTTATGTGTTCTGCTTAAATGGTAGTGTTGTGAGCTGGAAAAGTTTAAAGCAAGAAACGGTTGTTGATTCCACAACCGAGACCGAGTATATTGTTGCCTCAAATGTAGCAAAGGAAGTTGT